GGGGCTCTGGGGGCCCAGAAAGATAGGGGGGTGATGGGGGCACTGGGGGCTCTGAGGTGGAGGGGTCAGGGGGTTCCTGGGGGGCTCTGAGGGTCCTGGGTAGCCTTGCGATGCCAGGGGGGCCTGTGGGGCTGGGGGGTGTTGGAGCACCATGTGGGGAGGGGGTGCTGCGGAGTTTGGGGGTCCCGGGAGTTTGGGGGGGTCAGTTGATGGGCTCCTCCTCCCAGGTGGAGGTGGGGATGGCGCTGTAGGGATCCACCACGAGCCGGGCACAGCGCACGGTCATGGCGAGGAGGAAGAGCCCCAGGAGCACCACGAAGGCCGTGGCCACGGCCCTGTCCACGTCCAGGGCGGGCGGCACCGGGGGGCTCTCCATGCAGGGACCCTCAGGAGGGGGTGTCCTGGCTGGAAGGGACCCCCAGGTGTGTCCCAGGAACCCTCAGGTGTGTCCCAGGAATCTGGATAAATAAATATGGATATCTATTTAAATATACGTTAGAACTGGTGTTGCTATAATAATTTAATATTATAAGACTCAATATTATTTAATACTTATTGTTATAAATCAATATATTCTATATATTATTATATAAAATATGTCTTAGTATATCACACATAATGCTTTATAGACAATATAATACAGTGCACTAATGTCTTGTATTCTAAGATATTACATATTAATATTACTAATACATTATTTAGTATTATAACTTATTTTTATAAGTCAATAGTTATAATATTTATCATAAACATTTGCTTTTATTTAAATGTGTATGTCTATTTAAATAAATACAGATATTTGTTTAATTTATTAATGTGTTTGTGAAGCCAAAATGCGTGCCAGGAGCAGCCCCGAGTGCACCAAGGACGGCAAACAAATCCAGAGGCCCAGATTATGGAACTGTGGAATTGCTAAGGTGGGAAAAGACCTCTCCAATCATCCAGCCCATCACTGCTGGAAAAGCCCACCCTTTCCTTGGAGGAATTTTTCCAAATGTCCAACCTAAACCCCACCTGGAGCAACTTGAGAGCATTTCCTCTCATCCTGTTGTCCCCTGGGAGCAGATCCTGACCCCACCTGGCCCCAACCTCTTTCCAGAGGGTCCCAGGGAGGGGGAAGCCCCAGGATGTGACCCCCATCCCACGGAACAGCTCCATCCTTACCTCCCCGGGGTCCCTGTCCCAGCCCCTCCGGCTCCGGGATGGCTCCAGAGCCTCATTAATTCTGCAGGAATGTGCTGGCATCACCTTTCAGACGCTCCCAGTCCCCGGGAGACACAACCAGAGGATTGAATTCCCACCCCACACCCCCTTCTCCCATTGGGACAAGGCTCTGGAGGCCATTCCGGGTCTTCCTTGGGGCATGGGGTGTTTTGGGAAGTGCTGAGGAGGATTTATCCCAAAATAGAGCAAGAACCAGGCCTTCCCAGCCTGGGAGAGGGTTTTGAGCTGGCTCTTGTCTTACTTTGGAATAATCTGGGAAAAACTCTTGGAAAATGCACTGAACTGAGCTGCCTGTTTGGTTCTCGCCAAACAGTCTCGTGACAAGACCCAGTCTCAATTCCCCCCCAATCCGCATCCCAAACCGAACCCGAACTCCAGTCCCAACCCTAATCCCAGTCCCAGTGCCCACCACTCTCTGATCCCAGTCTAAACACTAATTCCCGCCCCAGTCCCAATCCCATTCCCATTCCCAACCCCAATTCCAGTCCCAATCCCTTCTCAGTGACCACGCCCCAAAGGGACACGCCCTCCACACACCCCGCCCCACTGGGGGCGGGGTCCTGCGTCTGTCGCCCCGCCCCACTGTCTGCGCCGTCCATCCGCCCCGCCCCCAGCCCGACATTCACACCAATAGCAGCGCCGCATCCCCCTCTCAGCCCGCCCCCCGCCCCCCAGCTGGGCCAATAGGCGCGCGGCGCGGCGCTGGCCCCGCCTCCGGGGCGGGGGGGGCTGCACGACCGGCCGAGGTTTTCCTGCGCCGCCATCTTGGCTCGGCGGAGCGGAGTGAGGAGGGGGCGGCCCCGCGACCCCCGCCATGGCCGCCGCCGGCGCCGGTGAGCACGGCCGGGGGCACCGCGGGGACCCACAGCGGCCGGGGGGGGCTGAGGGGCGGCTGAGGGGGGGCCATGGAGGTCTGAGGGGCGAGGGGGAGCTGAGGGGCTGTGTGGGGGTCTCAGGGGGTCTCAAGGGCCGCGTGGGGGTTTCGGGGGGTCTCAGGGGTGAGAGGGAGGTGAGGAGGGCTCTGAGGGGCGAGGGGGAGCTGAGGGAGTGCATGGGGGTCTCAG